CTTCATTCCCACAGTTCCACACTACCTCTTCTGAAGGCCTCACGTCTTCAGTGGGACTGCCACACTCTTGTGACCCCCTGTGCGACTGTGCCAACTGTGTTGCCCCCCCGCCCACAGCTCTGTTCAATGGGGAGGAGCAGTCAGGAGAATCACTGCACTTAGTGACGCCTGAGGACAGTAGTGATTTGTTGGAAATAAAGACTGAGCTTTACAAAAGGCAGCCTGCAGCTGCCTCAGAGGCTTTCCCTGAGCTGGTGAGAATAGATTTGGAAGAACAGAAGTCTGGTGTGGTTTGCAATATTGGCCAACAACAGGAGACCCTTTTACAGTTGCGGAGATCTGGGCTAGTCCGCCAGCGTGCAGAGAGGCTAGAGAGACTTTCAGGTTTGTCTCAGGAAAGCCTGTGCTGTCTGAAGCCTTTGCACGCATGCCAAAGGTCCAAGAAGAGCCCTTTCCACACTGAGGAGGAAGAGGAGTTCTCCAGTTTTACCGGGGACTTCATTAAATCTTCGACACCATGCCATGTGCGTTTAGAGCCACTGGTGGTGCCACTGACCAATGAAGCCTTGTTTGGTGTAGTCGGTTCTGGGCTGCTCACACCAACCTCCTCCCCTCATGGATCCACACTGACACGCAGCTCCAGCAGTGACAGTCTGCGCAGCGTGAGGGGGAAACCCGGTCTCGTACGTCAAAGAGCAGAGGAGATTGAGACCCGCATGCGGCTCGCAGGCTTAACCGTGCCCTCGAAGCTGAAGCGGTCCAACTCTCTGGCCAAGTTGGGCAGCCTCACCTTCTCCTCTGAGGACTTGTGTTCAGTTTGCTCCTCAGATGCAGGAACCCTTCTGCTCCTCTCATTGTCCCCAGAGCCAGACCGTGGCCTGGAGTGGGATCCCCTCACAACCTCTGCCCTGCCCCGACCCTGCAAGGACTTGCACACTCCAGAGAGAGCGGTATCAGGTGAGCCCAGAAGCTGACACATCAAGTGGAGGTTATACACACTCCACCCATCCCCTCATTTGTCACCCTGTGCGGCTGGAGAGGGCTGTAACAGTTCTGGAAGTAGGAGTGAGCTGAGTCTGACGAAAGATTAAAAAAAACCCACAAAACAAAGCCAAGTGTTGCTGTAAGGAGTGGACACTCTCCTTTGCCACATTATTTTCTCAAACTGCTGTTCACATTGAAGAAGGTCATATCGCTGAATCTGACAAGTGTGTGAAGCCATCAGTTCACCGCTAACTTGTTTTGTTTCATGGACAAACAAGTGCCTTACCTATAAGACCAGAGGCACAGAGCTGTGTGTTAGACTACAGAATGAGAAGATGCCCTATAACCTTTAACTTCACAGCTGTTAGTACCTGATATGTACTAAATTATGGTATGGGATCACTGGCACTTTTATTTTTTACCTGTTTGTTACAAAGTGGTAGCCTACATTGATGACCTTGAGTCCCTCAGTGGACAGAGAGCAAAGTGTTCATCAATTTAGAGTTGTTTACCGCACAGTTTATGTTTTAGATGCTAGAGAGTTGTAAAATTAATGGTTACCTCATGTTGCATTCATGGAGCTTATTCTCAGATGAACACTGAGCTAGTTTCATTCATGATTTGCTGATGTCAAGTTAAATCGAGGAAATCAGTTTCAAAGACATTTTAATGCAGAGATGTATGTTAGTACATTAATTTGTAACTATGTGTGTCTCTGAGTGAGTGAGTGAGTGGATTGAAAGTGGAGAAACAAGGTTGTGACATTGTTTTACCAGAGGCGTGCTCACTGTTTTCAACAAACAGAAGAGAAACATTTCTGAGTTTGTTGTTCCTTTGCACTGTTTTTTATTGAGTGAATACTGGTACGCACCAAGCTATCTTCCAAAATAACATTAGAGTAATGTTATTGACTTCATCATTCCCTACAGCGTACAATGTTCTTGGGAGAGTAGAGTGAGTTCCCATGCTGGGTGGCTTGAAATCATCTTACAAATGCCTGGAGTGACAGCGGAAGAGGGTTTATGGAAGTCAAATCATATCCTGTTTGTGAGGGTTTTTCCCAAGTGGAAGCTTTGATGAGATATAAACATAAAATATATACATACAAACCATCTTTACCTTAAATATTTTCTTGAGGGTTGCCAACATTTTAAACATACTGTATGTGCTTTTTTGAAATGTGAAAGACCAAAGTTGTTTGACTGTCTCGACAAATTGGAAACACCATTGAAGCTGTACAAAAATATGTGAATCATAATGTCAATCATGTACATGTTTAAATGCTGTCACGTCTTTTTTGCACCTTCTGGGAGAAACGGAAGAGACTCGGTGGAGTCGTCCGGCTCATAGCTGTTAAGCTTTTATGCTCATATCATCAATGAGCTTTAAAGCTTTTGTCACGCTGAGGTGACAACGATCACCATAGGTTACGTCACAGTTTGTAACCATTTTTTTTATATTTAAGTATGCAGTAACTTTTGTACTGTACATTGCTGTAGTTTGAATGCATATTGCACTTTTTAAGTTGGTCAGTGATATACTGTATGTGCTAATTATGAAAATAAACATTTGGTTTACATAATATATCATGGATTCTGTTTTGTTGTGGTATAATTCAGCCAGCGGTGGACTGAGCCCTTAACTAAAAGTAGCACTAAAATAAAATAAAAGGCCTCACTGACTTCCTTTGATCATGAACATCAGTGACCTGTAAAAATACCCCGTTACAAGTAAATGTTATGCATTCAAAATTTTAAGTAAACATGCAAAAATATTAGCAGCACATAAAGTACTACAAATAAAAGTGGTCATTGTGCAGAATGTAAATGCAATTCATATCAATGGATTATAATTTTTGTGCACATCACATTTAATGTTGTAGCTGGTAAAGGTGGAGCTAGTGTAATTTGAATTATTACTGAGTAGTCCACACAATAAACACCAGAGATCAGTAAAGTTGTACGATTACACTATATTTTTATATTAATGTAATTCTGAAAAGTAACAAGAAACTGTCAAATAAATGTATTGGAGTATAATGTACAATGTTTCTCTAAAATGTAATGAAGTAGCATAAAATGAAAATACTTAAGTACAAATACCCCAGATTTGTACTTAAGTACAGTATCTCAGTACATGCACGTAATTACTTTCCACAGCTGTTCACAGCAACACAGTAATAGGTATTGGACATCATTTGTTCTGTACACTGAAGCAGTAGATTTGTTAAATGAGAGACAAACAGCTCCCTACAGGGAAACTGTAGAAAACTGTGTATGCTCCAGATGTTGTTTAGGAAAACTGTCAGACAGATATTGAGGAATAACTAAAGGTCTGTGCGCTGTCTCGACTGTAACGGCGTGTGTATCCTGAAATTACATCATTGTGCCCCCATCTGTATGCTTTGGCCAGAGCAATGTCCTCCAACAGCCAGCTTATATAACATTTGGCTTCCTGTCACAGTTTGCATGACAGTGAATATCTTAAGTGGTGCACTCTTGGTCCTGCCAGGATATACAGTATGTCTAGGTGTCTGTCTAATGTTGTGTGGTCGGGTACTGAGGCAGCAAAGTTGTTACGCTGCTGTTGGTGTGTGAGCTCACACTGGTATAAAGCATTTCAGCTTCTGAGTTTTTTTCTGTTTTCTTTTTTTGATCATGAGCATGAGTCCTGAGATGGGCATTTCCATGTGAAATGGAAAAGTAATGTGTGCAACTACTGTGAACATTTAAATGACAGGGGCTAAATAAGAAGCTTCGTAAACCTCATCGTTAGCCTGTGGAGTCTGTTTTGAATTAATCATGAACTTAAATTAGAGACAGATTGGCTTTTGTCTAGACAAGGTCGAGAATGACACTTTTCAAACACAAAAACAGTGGTTGGCAGGAACATGAGCGCTGCGAGCTGCCTGTCTGTCAGCACAGTGGACTTTGCTGCGTGCAGGCCCCGGCCTCTCTTCCCTTTCTTCTGCCAGTGAATTCTTGGCTGCTACACCTCCACTTTTCTTTTATTATCTGAGGACATATCCTGTTTTGGACGTTGCTATAGAAACCAAGAGACACAAAACAAAAAGGTCTGCGCTTTTTTCAGATAATTTCCCACACTCCTGGGCACACACAGGGTGGCTACAATTACTCGCCATTTATCCCCAGACACAGACATGCTTACTTATCCTAACTAGGTTCCGGAATGAAACATCATGACCTGTGTGGCCCATGACAGCAGTATCCAAACAGTGTCGGGTAAAAGAAAAGTAAATAAAATTAAAATTAATATAAGGCGTTCCTTACACAATATTTGCTCTAGATGTATAATGGTCATGGACCATAACGTGCAATTATTCCCCTGTCTTTCAACTGGATGCAAGGGAAAAAGGTTACCACTTGGGTATCTAAAATCTCAGATCAGGATCGCGCTTAAAACCCATTCTCCATGTACCAAAGTCCACACAAGCAAACAAAGGGATAAAAAGTTAAAGATAACTTTTCCAAGGTTTCTCAAGACACCAAAGAGTAAAGCTACAATTCAGTTTCCCCTGACTGTATTTGTCAAAAGTGCTGTGACGTCACATGGATGTAATATAAAGCTCCCATTGCTTGTGCATTTGAGGGAGGACCAAACATCCCACACAGCCAACAAAGAGCATTCTATCGGTCCCTAGAGAGAGCGATCGGCTCGGCTACAATGTCAAACTGGTAAGTGTCATCTGCAGCATATGATAGGAGATCAATATTGTGTTCATCACATTGTAAGAGCAGAGAGCAAGTCATAAGGCCTGTGCCCATCATGTTGTAGTATATTAACTCAGAACTATTAGTTATCATTTTCAAAATTTCAAACTTGGGCTTGTGAGAGCTTTGCAGTGCACTGCTTTGAATTCCTGTATGTCTGAGTATGTAGAGGCAGCAGAACACATGGTGATCAAGTGATCAGCTTTGGGCGTTCAGAGAAGATGAGAAAGGATAATACAGTGGTTGTTAGCAGAAATGAACTGTCTTAAGGGAAGGAGTTACCCTCACTGACTGATAAAGTAGGGGGATGATAACCAGTGAACTGAGATTCCACTCTCTGCTCTGGGCGGCTTCAACCTGATGAGGACACATGATCTGAAGGAGGACAAAAGACAGTTCTCCAACTTTGTTTTTTGTCTTTTGCTTATAATTTTATCATGTATTTCTGGTCTTACGCTTTATCTCCCAATACTGCAACAGGAAACACAAAGTGTCTGCATCTTCTCCAACACAGCTATGCCACCATTGTAATGCAACACAGCCGTGTGCCTGGTCAGTGTGCAGGCTTGTCAGCTGATAAGACAAAAGCAGTCATATGTTGTCACACAGACGACTGATAGGAAACAGCCTCGTGGCCCAGATCATTGTTAATTGTGCTTCACCAGCTTCTCTGCTTACTGCTGGAGTTTAGTAGGAGAATACTTATTTTTAAATTGTATAATTGTATAATCTCTCTTTGTACAATCATGGAAAAATTTGTCCCTGCAACATGTTTGTTTAGGTTTCCCTATGTGTTCTACTTTCTTTTAATAATTACATTCATGAATTAACACTCATCCTGCTCCCGCTGCTACTACTAATCCTCCTGTATTATTAGATTATTAATCAGAGAAGCCTAATTAAACATGAAACATACCCAGAGTTAGACTGTCATGATGCAGGGCTCTCTGGATTTAAACTTTTTTTTCATATAAGGGAATGAAAAACTTTTATTATGACAGCTGCAGAAATGTTAACATCATGCCCGTCCCATACACGCAAAATGTGGGAACATAACAAAAATTGGAATTTACCAAATCAGTTAATTAGTTTGCATCAACCCAAAATCAGCAAAAATTCTGACAAGAAGTGTGAAAAAAGAAGCTGACTTTTAAGATGTAAAGTGTGGGAATTTGCAGCCATGCTGTCATAAAAATAAATGAATAAATAAGACTGTGAATTTTCAATACCAAGAGGAATTCCTCCATTAGTCAGACTCAACGTTCCTGTCGCCTCTGTCCGCTATGATGCTGATTATCCCAAAACACAAGTCACAGACTTCACATACAGTATCAGAACAGTGAGTTTATAAGAAAGCAACTCTGCATCATTACTTATTAAAAAAATGCATGAAAAAGTAATGAAATGACTAAAACAGGACAAAATGAAAATGTATGTGCTTTAAAACACTACATGTATTGTATTCTGCTTTGAACAATAATTCTTGTCTGAAATACTTTTCACAAAAAAAAATTTAAATGCAACATTAAAATTCTTAGAAGGACCTTTATTCTCTCGACCACATTAAAATGATAAAAGCCAGGATCTATGAATATGCAAATATTGCATATTTTACGGTGTTATTCTCTGATTTAAAGTGAGCAACTTTCAAATTTCAGTAGAAGAATGTGGAAAAGAAACCTTCTAGTATCAAACTCTGCACACACATTTTTCTACCCAGTGAGGGTTAAATATTCAAGTCAAGTAATAACAAACAATTTGGAAAAGAGGAGTGCCTACTTGTCACTGTATGTAGTTTGTCTTAAAGTGAGCTGGTGCAGACATTGAGAGTGTATAAATAATCCAACAGAGGGTATAGTATTGTAGTTAAAGTCATAAAATACTCAGATTCACCACTTCAATGACGGCAATTAATGTGTGACTAAGAACTGTTTGCTACATATGACATGGTCTCCTCCCAAGACTAAAACCAATTCTAATGTGAAGACTGTGATGTTTAGCCCACATGTCTGCTGCTCTTTCTACTCTTCTGTTTTAGCAGCTTCCAGTTTTCAGTATATTATTCAAGCAAAGAATATTAATGGAAATGTTCAGAATTACAGGGGCAGTGGTGGGGCACAAATCACTTATGATCCGCAGGCAAAAGAAAAATACTTCTGTGATGTTACTACCATGTCTTTCTCCACAGACCAGTATGGGACAGACCCAGGACAAAGTAGAAGGAGGAGAACAGGACCTTGGTGAAGGATTGGGGGGGAGGCTGTGCCCTGACTCTGGAGGCAGTCATACAGGTGATGTCATGGAGTTGAGAAAGTGTGAGGAGGAGGCCGCTAACACAGAGGAAACTTCAGTGGAGCCAGACACTCCAGATCTGGCTGGGAGCCCCAGCCAGGAGCCAACACCACCTTCTAGTGAGAAGCACATAAATTTGCGGGTGAGTCCATTTGCTGCAAGGGAAGTGAAACGAGGAGGGGCAGCAAAGGAGGGAAAAGGAGGAGGAGGAGGAGGCAGGACCACTTTTGTGGTTTCACAGGAGACAGGCACGAACCAAAAGAGTAGTAAGAGGACTGAGGAAAGAGCCCAAGCAAACGAGCTATTAAGTCACATAGAGGCTAGCAAGACTGGTGAGGAGCTTCAAACATCCTCCAAGATCAAGATGGAGTACCGGGGTGAGGGAGTCATCCCACATGAGGTGATCCAAGGGGAGACTTCACATAATCAGCAAGGCCTTGTTGTTACCTCACAGGATTCAAAGTCTTTTGACAGCAATGAAGAGGGTTCTGTAATGATGAAGATCAGCAAATGTGGAGCTCATTCAAGAGGAGGTGAGTTTCTTTCTGTTCAAGATCAGAATGAGACCATCATGGCTGAAGGTGAGAATGAAGATATTTCGCTCTGTGCAGGAACAGTGAGCAGCTTGAGTGAGAGGAAGAAACCACCTCCAGCTCAACCCCAACATCCTTTGAAAAACAGCCTGCAGAAAGAGTCTCTGTTAGACAAGAGTGATGCCATTCACTACAGACCTCCAAAAGAGAGAACGGAGAATAATGCAAAAGAGGAAACATGTGAAGTGAAGCCTGCTTTAAATGACTACTCCTCAGTAAAACCAAAGGTCACTGATGCTCATGATCAAAGGAAGTCAGCGAGGCCTTATCTGCAAATGAACACAACTGAAACAGCCACAAAGGAAAAGATAGAATCAGATTTGCCATCAAATCCAGTGTCATCCATTGAACCCACCTCTATTTTGGAGAAGCTACTGAAGAGAAATAAAAAAGGGGCACCCTCAGCTATTTTTAAAATTGAAGAGGCTGGCATAGACAACAATAACAAGACAGTTGTTTCTATGGAGTATAACACAAAGAGGATCCTTGACAGAACAGCGATAGAACATGACATAAAGGGGGTTTTACCCTCCTCAGCAGGTTCACAAAAACAAGCACCTACAGCAAACCTAGCAGCAAAAGGTCTCCATGTTAGGGACATGGACATGAGACAGACAGACACTGGTGACAATGTGGCCTCAGATGGACTTTGTTTCCAGCTTGGAGTGATTGAAAATACGATGTGTGAGGGTGCACTCACAAAATCATATTATTCCAAAGCTGACTGTCAGAGTTCAGCGAAGAACATCAGTTCAGCAGATGATCCAGTCAAGGAAAAGATAAAGATAAAGTCAAATATAAGCCCCTCTAAATCCCCGTCTTCAGACAACTCGCAGTCAAGTTCACATGAAAGAACATCATGTGAGGTTAGTAATGTGATTGCTGAAGAATCTACACCTTCCTCAGTGTCTGGTGCAAAGTCTCCACCCATAAAAAGTGATACACAAATTGCAGACTCATGCAGTTTCCTTACTGCTGAGAAGACAGACACCGGTACTTTAACAACACCTCTACAAATAAAAAGTGACAGAGAGATCACAGCTGATCCACAGTTATTTGGCTCTGAGAGGGCAGATTCTGTAAAGAGAATGAAGGTGAAGGCCTCCAGTGAAGACACTGCTGCACCAGCTATGGATGCTGGCTCAATTTTAGTTGCAGGTGGGACAGTTATCTCAGAGGAAAGCCACCAGGTCACAGCCAGCATGAAGCAGAAGCATCACATGACATTTACTACAAATAATATAATCGATAAAAAGGATGAACTGGATAAAAAACATGGCAAAGAGAGAGATGACAGTGTGTTGAAAAGAGATACACCCCAGAGCACTCCTAGATCCAGGCCTGTCTCAGAACTCATAAAAGAGACAATTCAACTGCATGAAAAACTGCAGCACCAGGACCGACCAAGGCCAGCTGAAGTCAGGTCTGAGGAGCAGGGCCAGTCTGTGAAGGTGGCACAGATGAAGGCGGCTTTCGACTCAACCCAGAAATACCCAGACAAGGCAACTGAGAGGAAGCCATCAGTGAGAAAAGGTAAGGGCTTTCAAATCTGTTGAAACTGTCTTGGAGGTGTGTTGGTTCAAGTATATGGTCATTTTGGATGCAACTTGTGGTGCTGTTGAATTGCATTGCATTATTCTATCCACCTTTTTTTTTTATAAATCAGCAGACCTAAGCAAAATACAGACACACTTGTATGAAGGCAGGGTTTGATGTTATATTACATTCTGATAGCTATATATAGTAGTATCAAAATGGTAGAAACTGCAGGTAGCACAGAACACACTGGGGATAACAGGATAGCTGGTATATTAATTAGTGAGCCATTTTTGATAGACAAAAAAATAACAGTGAATCCTGCCTTCCTGGCAAATAGGCCCCTAAATGTTACCACAAAAATTTGCATCAGTTCTAATTTAAAAGACTGAAGGAGGGTGAAGAAAAACAGACTGGATGATGAAATACAGCTGTTTTCCGCTGTCTGCATCACTCTGCATTCGCCAAATACCGCCATCTTGTGGCGCTGTAATCTTTTGTGGTACATTGTGTTCAGAAGAAAAATATTTTTATTATTAAATGGCATGTTGAAGGTTAATATGGCCTGTATGGGAAATTCTGGTGTAATCTATGACTTACTTTCTCACATAGGACTGTTTAAAGTTTTATATTTATTATCCACAAATGTATCCCCTCTCACTCACTTCTGCACATGCAGTGGGAAAAACGTACAATTATTGTTGACTCATCTCGATTTATTATTTACGCTCCTAAATGCTGTCATATGAGTTGGTAGATTTGTCTATCCCTGCAAGAACTACATAAATCCTATTAATAGTAAGCAATAATCAAATATTGCTTACAAATGATATGATTGTAATGTAATAGCTAGACTAATAACAACAGATAACAGGAATATCACAATAATACGAAGATTTTACCAAAAAGATACAATACACAACCAACTGATGTTGACTTTCTGTAAAAGGGAACCTGAAGAAAGAAGGCGTGGGTCCTGCTCCCTGTTATCTTACTGTGATTGGCTGTTTAAGCTGTCGGTCAAATTACACCGATCCACTCAGCGCTCGCCAAGCCAAATGAGAAGGCGGGCTAGCGTTAGAGTCGGGAAAGAGCTCAGGGAGTGAGTGGCGTCAGCACAGCAGCGGCTCCGGCACAGGGTGGAAGAAGCGATTGGGAAAAGGACTGGGCTGTGTTTTGTCGTTCAGGTTTCGGGAATACTCAAAATTTTCTCCCAGAAGGTAGGTTCCACATTGTGTGGATTGTCTAGAGTCATTAGGCTAATTTCTCTCTTTTTTTTGATTGCAACCTTTTTTTGTTTGTCCACCTACAGCAGCCCGGATGGGAAAGTGCATGCGCTAGCTAAAACGAATCGGGACATAAAATGTGAACTGTTTTTCTTTATCTAGCACTAGCCTTCAACGGTATTTAACTATCGGTTTAAAAACTTTTTGGGCCTTGTTAATCAAAGAAATGACAGTTTTAAAGCCATGTTTTTATTCGTTTTGGTATAGGGTGGGTTTCGTGGACAATTCAGGACATGTCGTACGTTATTGAACGGGGTGGGGTAGCTAACCATAGTGCGGCAGGAAAACTTATCTTCGAAACGATAGATCCACATAGACGGAGGTGCACGTAACACAACCGCGCCCTGGCTCCGGGTGTCCTGTGCTGACATTAATATGGTCTCTTCAAAGTGAAGAATAGGTTCCAAACATAAGAAAACAGCCAAGAATTATATTATTTACTTATCTATTTCTCAAACTGTTTCCTTTGATCTAAATGCAAATCCGAAATGTTCACCCAGATGCCAGGTTCAGGTTTGACCCACTGAAAGCGGAAAAGGGTCATAGCACAGAAGCTATGGCTGCCTCCATACTTGATATTAGAAATGTTACCCAGTTCTGCTTGTTTGGCTATAAAACGTGGACAATAGTTGGTATGAAATGACGCAGAATGCATGTACGTAGACAAACATCATGGTGCTGCACATTGGTTTAATGTTCCTACTTATAACTGGAGGAGTCCATCAGCATTATGTTGACAGCTGGTTTTAATCACAGGCCATTCACAGCAAAAACAAGCAGTTGGCTTAATTATGTTCAAGTCAAATTAAGAGAGTACACTATTTACTAGTATCCACGGCAAAGGAATTTTTATTGCCTAATTAGTTAGATCTGTCTGAAAAATTTAATTAAAAATTTCCACAGCTGGACTGCACATGATGTAATGAAAATGGGTTTGCATATTAATGAGTGGTTTGACAGGGAAATGTAGTTCTTGAATGTGCTGTGACTAAAATTGATTGACTAATAGTTTATTTGCAATTCATCATATAGTCTGTTAAACATGAATAAAATAAAGATGTCTTCAAATGCCCTCATTTGTAGGCCAAAAGCTCTGAAGCCGATACTGCAAATATTCAGTTTTCAGTGACAAATCCTTACATTTGTGTAGTTAGAATTGCACCGTATTTGGCATTTTTGGCTGATAAAATGACTGAAATAAACGACTGGTTAATTCCCCCCCCATCAATTAATTGTCTCAGCCTTGGTCCCAGTGTTATGAATTAACCCTTAAAATTTGACTTGATTCTAAAGACTTGATGGTGACTCTTTCTCACTTGGCTGTCATAAATGGTCTGTGCAGTCAAGCCCTTTTGGCTGGCTCATGATCCAAATAGCTCTCAGTGCAACCCTTCTGTCTGTGTGCTACCACCAACTCATTTGCTTGCTTATGACAGTAGTCTGGTTTGATTTTCTAGTGACCATGGTTAATGTACCCAAAGGCCAGCATGAGTTGCATATTTACATGGTGTGATCTATGTTACTCAGCTACCACATGTAATCATCTCTGCAGCTGAAGGGCTTTCCCTCTCTGAGGCTCACTGTGGGATGCAGAGCAGGTGAAGGCTGACAGAGCGACCCTAGGGTCAACAGTCAACAGTACTACAGCTGTGTTTGGGTTTGCATTACCCATTGCAGACTATAACCTCCGCTGGTTGTGCTGCAGTTCAAGGTCGTAGAAGTGCACAGTCTGCCTTCCTACAGCTGTTCTGAGAGAGGAAGTGGGTCAGGAAGAGGGAAACCAAGCATGAGATGCTCCTGTGTGCACTGTACATTTTGAAGTGGTTTTAGGAAGTTCATGAAGATTTATGTGCAATATCCAACATGTCTTACATTTTTTTTCATCAGTGTTGATCACGGTCTGGCTAAGTGCAGATGTTCCCTGTTGAATATTGTGCTGAAATTGTTTAGAAGTAGTGGTTCAGTCTTGGACTTTGTTTTGTGAACTAAGAAATGTGCACATTAGGTAGACGGTAGCATGGTAGTAGTTTGACATCCCTCCTGTAACAGTTGGTTCTCATATCACTGTGCTCCCATTATAACATCCTGTGGAAAGAAGCTAAATATGTTGTCAGCAGTTTGGTCTCTGCATCTCAGCTGGAATCAAATGTATTCCTTTATCAGGTTCAACATACTGTATCTCAGCTTGTTTTCAGTCCAGTCTGTGTTGGTTGTTATCTCACTATGCACTTTCTAGATTTTCTACAAGAAACTTTTAGTGTGAAATACCACACCTTGTAAATTTAACTGATGTGTGCTGCAAATGTATCTTTCCCATAGAAGATCTTTCTACAAACTTGTGGGAAGAAACCACTTGCTTAGCAATTCAGTTTTTGTTATTTAGACCATCCTAAAGAGGATCCCCTGCCTAAACCTCTGCTGCTAATTGCTTACAATGTAGAAAATGGACAGAGACACTGACTGTACTACCAGATTGATTGAAAATGTTTTAAATTTTGATGTGTAAATATCTAAATTAAAATTATAACGTAAACATGACGCCGAAAACAAGCCAACCCTCCCGATTTCATAAACCACAATTAAGTATTTTAAAATTATGTTGGACTTCCTTTTTCTAGTAGTCTGAAGCTTAGTAATTCCAGCAAATGCACACAGACAAGTACTATTTCTGTCATTGGTGTTTTCCACCACAGCTGACATCTGTTGAAATGGAGCAGTGGTTTGTTCTTTGCTCACTTGGGTAGTGGGGGGACGTAGCTGCTCAGGAAGAGGAAGGGACATGCTTTGTTCTCTCCGGCAGAAATATTCAGGAGTGTTGCATGTTCAATTCACATGGCTGTAGATACTAAAGAAAACCAACTTGCAAGCACTCATAAAATTTAGATTCATAGGATTTTAAAGTGGCCTGTTTGTAAAGTGTTGACTTTTAAGAAGGATAAGTTGTTAAGGATTTTACTTTTAAATCTCACAGCACAGAAAGTGATAGAGAGAAGGTGGTAATGCTTAAGTGCAGTTCAAGGCAGTGTTTAGCACCACACTAGATATACTGACATTTTCTGCCACACTTGTCTGAATCAAAGTAGTCTGTCTTTCCTTTTCTGGAATGAGGAAGTTGGAAAAACCTCATCATGTGACTTGTGGTGTTGAAATATTTTGATGTGTAAATGTCAGACACAGTATAAGTTGTTGATACATGTACATATCTTTTAACTAGAGCGTGGAATTTGATTGGAGCTGGTAATTGGTCCTGTATGTGTGTTACCTACTGAGCTGGACTTTGAGCTGCATTGCTCTTGTGTCTGCAAATCTCATTTCCTCGGAAGTATAACAGAGTACAATAGCACTGGTGAGTAATTTGTTTCAGTAGTATTTGAACTGAGCGAAACGCAGGCCCTTCACTTGGGTTGGAAAGAGGTGGGAAAACGGCATCTTATCTCATTGTTGCAAAAGGCAGTGGAATGTAGCTGGAATCTGATGACAATGGTGGTCCGTGGCCTTGGTTACAGGAAGGGGATTTAGATGGCGTCTCATGCGGTCTTGGTGACAAAAGGCAGAAGGCAGCCGGTGTAAGGAGAGCACTGGGGCAACATCACTGGTGTGTGTAGTGGGGGCGATGGGTGCCTTGGGTAGCAAAGTGTGGGAAAGAAAAGTCTGTGACCATTCATGGCTATTTATGTCACTGATGTTACAATATAAAACTTTGACATTACAATACCATTGCTAGTCATTACATATGGCCCAACCCCCCCCCATTTTGATTTTGGGCAAACATGTTAGACAACATTCCACCCCCATCATCAAAACACCACATGAGGGAATATCTTTTTAGAAGAATGGTGTTCATTCATCCAGTAGAGTCTAGAGACTTGTAGAGTCAAAGCCAAGGTGCACTGAAGCTTCCCGACACCTTACTGAGACATTTTGTTTTTTTTTTTCCTTTAATTTGTCGCCTGTCTGTACCTTTAAGGCGTGGCCAGCTGTGACCTGGACTGGGGCTGCAGTGTGGCTAGTAACCACACTGCAGGGAAGTCGACTTTGTTGGTGATGAGAAGCACCAACAAACGGAGGCATTGCAAAACTAGATAAAACCTGTTGAGAAACAGGACTATATACTGTCAGCAGTACAGTCAGTAGCCTTTCAGGGTAACAAGAGCAACTGCAGACATATTTAAACTGGGCATGTCTGATGACAAAAGCTCAGAATAATAATGAAAACACCTTCAACATATTTAATACATTTAATCCATTTGTTAACTGGTGACGTAGCATTCCGTTTCTGGGTCCAAACTTCGGTTCATTCTCCTCAAGTCAGTATGCCTGAATCGAACATCTCTGGTCAGCTGCCGTTCTACTGCTTTCCTTGCAATGAGAAGGGGAAAGGCATGGTTACTGTTGATTAGGGAATTCACAGTATTCTTATATTAATACTTAATAAAAATAAAACTTCTACCATACCTGGACAAAGTGCTTACAGAGTCACTCACTCAAACACATACTCACACACCAATGGTGGCAGAGCTGTCATACAAAGCCCTGGCCTGGCCACTGGGAGCAGCTCGGGTTCGGTGTTATGCTCAAGGACACTTAGTCCTGTGGACTGGGGAGACCAGGAGTCAAACTGCCAGCCCTGCGATCAGAGGTCGACCCGCTCTACCCCTGACCCAAAGCCACCCCACATAAGCTCTCCCTCTCCCACATCAGCTCATCCTGATCTGTGGCTGGGAATTTCATGTTATGTCACATCTCAGTCATCAAGTGCACTATGAAACACAGCTTAGCACTCCAACAACAAGGTGATGGAAAAAATATAAAACCTCTTTATAACATAGTTTGTATCGACTGACATTGTTGACTCTTGTTTTGTATTTTTCATTGTCAGGAATAAGCCAGTGTCTTTGGGCTTCACAGAACCGCATTAGGCAATGGATTTTAAT